TTATTTAAAATAAATGTTCTTCAAAATAAAGGAATAAATTGCATTTTAAAATATATTCAAATAGAAAAAAAAACAATTTTAAATTGACATAATATTTCAAGATATTGCTATTTTTACTGTATTTCTGATCAAATAAATGCAGCTTTGGTGAGCATAAAAGACTTCATAGGATATCTTCCCAACCCCGAACTTTTTAATGTTAGTGTATATCAAATAAAATGGACTTAAACTGCTGTCAGCAAACACATCTCCTCACCTCCTTCATGGTGAAAACATCTTTATCTGCACCTGCATCCTCTAACAGGCTTTTCAGCTGCACTTTTGGTCTTACCTAAAGTTACAATAAATAAAACTCAGTCATTTCAAGGTACAAAAACGCAATTAAATACAAAAAGACACACCTTGAATGCTACATTACCAGTTTTTCGTTGTCAACCTTGTTTATCTGAGAACTGCTTAAACAACTTTCTGTTGCCATATTGGTAGTTAATCTGTAAAAAAATAAAATAAACAAAGTTAGACTACATAGAACAATTTAGAGGCAATTCAGTACAAATGCAAAGAACGAACATTACCTGTGCAAATAGAGGTAAATTGGCTATTTTAGCAAAGAATCTTCTATATATACTCTGCTACCTGTACATAAAGTGCTTGAGCTCTGGCGTAGTGATGAGTGGGAGCCGGCTAGGAACCGGTCTATGGTTTAAATAGACGCAGAGAGGCATGTCAGGGCTAGAATCCACCGCACCGATCATCATGTCCAGGGCGGGTTCGGGCATGACATGTCAAAGCGTGACTGCCTGCCTTCAGACGCCTAGTGGTGGTAGACGATCTTTGCGGAGTTGTCTGGCTCTGTGTTCATGTCCGGGCATGTCCCGTCTCACTACACCCGCCCATTGCTGGCTAAGCACTTGGATTTGAGACTTATCAGCCCAGTAACAGGTGAAATAACGGAGTGTTTGGACCAAAGCGATGACCCTCGTGGATTATTAGCTCCTCGGTTAAATAAATTCAAGCCGAAAAGACTAAAAGTTATTCATTACAAGTGCTACGGATGCCCTTCGAGTAAAGCTCCAAATGTCTCTGGACTACGACAGTGCAATGCTCATTTTTTGAAATGCTCAGTACACACGCAAAACACAACAATCTCAAGTTTGTTGTCTTCGGGATTTATAACTGCCATCTGTATGCATGGAAATATCTCCATTCAAATTAGCTGCACATAAGTAATGTTGTAAAGCCTTATCATCATGGAACATCAAAGTCTTCCCCCAAGAGGTAACATGAAAACAGATCGACGTGTAAATATTGTTCGTTTTACGAGATGTAACGTTACGTGTGATGAAACGCTTGACGTCTTGCGTGCTTTTGACATGTTAAGTTTCAGTATGACAGATAATGATGTAACAAATAACAACACAAAGTGCGCAGTGTGCGTTCCTCGAGTTATAAAGCATAAACATGTATAAGCCGCGGTTGTTTGTTTACGTAATAACTAATTTATACACATAACGTTACTTATACATTTATATACTTATATAACGTATACACATTTCTTAATTTCTTTACAAGTAGAATAGTAACAGTAGTTTTAAATACACAACTTAAACGATTATTGCCTAATGTGGAGCACTGCGCATTTGAACGACAAGACTAAGCTAACTTATATTTACAACGCCACAAACGCCCGCACTCCTGGGTGTCTACTTCCCGCTGTGGACTATCAGGAAAACCCGAGGCTGCAGTAGGCCGCGCTTAACGCAAGGCTGAGGCAAATTATTTTAGGCGACTAAACGGACATTAAAGCCTCATACAGTGTTAAACTAATTCGCTGGAGCGTATGACAATGTTATTCAGATATTTACAACTTTATAGGTGTATAAAGTACGAAAGTACGAAAAAGGCTAAACTGAGAGTGTTAATGTCTTACCTGCTGGTGACCGTTGAGCGTCGCGAACTCCCTCTACTGGCGCCTGTTTGAATTTGAAATGTTCTAGCAAGTGCGATCGTAAGCGCGCTGCGTAAACACCACACAATACACTCACGTGAAGGCGAGTTGGATATTACTTACATTAGTCCTATCTACATTTGCTGTTTTACTGCTGTTCGTTTAATGCGATTAAACGAGTTTGACCATGTGAGGTTCATTTTATATTTAACACGACATTTGTATGCGGTTGTCTGTGTTGTACAAAGTTGTTGATTCCTTATTTCAATATTAAACCACACTGGATAAGTTTTAGTAGGCTAGTCAGAGTTCTGCATTTATCAGGTAATATGTAAGAAATTAATGAAAAATGAATATGACAACAAAGTCGAAATAGGCCTACTAAAATTATTAATTTAGCTATAGCTGCATTTATTTTCTGCTTGCACATAAATCTTTTTTTTTGTTGGTAGGCTATTGTAAGCAGAAAATACGCATTGCTGTTGATGAAAATGAACAATTAAAGACAAATATTTATTTATTAACATCTCAATCGAAATTGACTTAAATTTTGAGATAAAGATACTTGACAAAGTTAGGAGACAAACAGCACTTTGGGACATTATTATGCTTTTTAAATGCTTTAAAATATATTTTCATTCTCTACACACTTTATGAAGTGTATCCTACTTTTTAAAAGCTTTAAAATATATTTTCATTCTCTCTACACAATTTATGAAGTGTATCCTGCTTTTAAGAGCTTTAAAATATATTTTCACATTATTTGTTATATTTAGTATTTAATATGGTTCGGTTTAAACCTAATCTTCTTGGGTTGAATTTAGTCCATTGTTTAACTGTATGAGATTAATCAAAAACATTAACACTTGATACTAATTGCTTACCATTTGTAGTTATAATCATGATGATATTAAATGCATCACCACTGGTTAATGAATTTCTCCTTTGATTAATGAACTATTTTGCATTCTATTCTATTGTGCTAACTGAAAGAACTTTGATCAGTTTTGATTTCTTAATGAGTAATGATGATCTGTTCTTTCTCTTATGATTCCGTGAGTCACCTGATTGGTGACAATGCTGGGAATTCATCAGCTGTGTGTGAAATCCACATCAGAAAATATTCATTTGTAAAGTGAGTTTGTTGTCATGACATAACTACACAGAAACTTGCTAGTTAGGGGAGGTCCTGTTTGCTAGTTGCTAGTTGAGGTGACTGTGCCATGAAAACATGTCTTGTACAGTCCTGTGAAAGGATATGTATTTAGGGCCCATGCAGGGAGAGCGACTCAGAGTTCATTTTAGTACAACATGTTCCTTTAAGCTCAACATGTTTGGGCTTGTGCATCTGTAATAATGAGGAAATTCCATGGACCACTGAAGTCATCAGAAAAGCCATTAATTTAATTAATGGAAGTAAGGATAAAGGCAAATCCTAAAGATTAAAGTTCAAGACTGTGCACTGTCAAAAGTTTGGAAACAGTTATTCATCTATATGCTTATTCCATATGCAACAACACATGGATGTTTGATAAAAAAAAAATTGCCATATAGATTACATCTTTGTTCATTCTCTCTACACACGGAGGTGCTTCTTCCTGGGATTAACCAGGAGTTCCATGTTTTTAGGCACTTGTTGGCTTCTTTCCTTTTTACATGTTTTTAATACTTCATACTTTTATTTAGCAAGGATGCTTTAAAGCAGCACTATGTAGCTTTTTCTGTGTTCAAAATTCGCAAAATGTATATAATGAGCGAGTACATCATGAATTCATCTTCCAAACCGCGTTTTTGTCTTATTCCGAATCACTACGGTACACTTATAATAAGTACTTATACTTGGACTATTGTAGCCTGGTCAGGTCGTCACCGCTGCGGAGTAACACATACCTGCGTGAATCGCCATAGACATAAACTTAGAGAAGTAGCTCCGGTTGGAATGTTCTTCCGCGGGATGTGTGCAGTTCTGTTTATTAACCGCTAGAGCGCTAAAAGTTACATAGTGCTGCTTTAAATTGATCAAAAGAAACAGACATTTATAATGCCACAATTTCTAATTCAGATACACGCTGTTCTTCTGAACCTTCTCAAATCATTTTTTTTTTCTACAAAAATATTAAGCAGCACAACTGTTTGCAACACTGATAATAATAAGACATGTTTCTTGAGCAGCAAATCAGCATTTTAGAATGATTTCTGAAGACTGGAGTAATGGCTGCTGGAAATTCAGCTTTGATATCACAGGAATAAATTACATTTTAAAATATATTCAAAAACAAAGCAGAAATTTTATATTGTCATTATTTCACAATATAATTTTGCATGAAATGTAGCCTTGGTGAACATAAACTGTTTTAAAATCATTAAAAAAAATTACTGACACCAGACTTTGTTAATGTTATATAGCATATATTAATATGAATGTGTATTTATTATATATTTTAAAAATAAATCATGTTATATAATAAATAAGTAAATAAATGTAGACACAGTTTAGACCAGATTGAAATCATTTTCATGAACCTTTCAGATCATCTTAAAGGGGTGTCAACTTTAATTGTACAGAGAATAAAACACATTTGAAAAATATATTCTTTCATATTTATGAATATACTCAAACTATATTTTTTCATGTTCCATGGAAGAAAATAGGTCATTTTTGGGTGAACTGTCCCTTTAAGCAGCATCATTTGCAGTATTTTTGTTTACCACCTCCTTTTCAAAATTAGGACGAGTCTAATATTCACACAAAAAAAGCTGAAAAACATCTAGAGTTTAGACTGGAGACAGGACTTTGGAATGTGACTAATGTTTCAGCTGTGCATTGCAAAAGAGAAAAACAAGTTGAAAAGCCCTCATCATGAACTGAACAAATGATTGACATTCCATTTCACAGATACTCAAGTCTTTTTGCCAAATAGGCACTGACCCTTGTCCTAAAAGTCACGACTTAGACTCGACTAGATAAGATAACATTCCATTCTTGAACTATCTGACAAAAGAAAACAGTTGTGTTACTTTCTATAAAATGTTTTATTGTTGTACAGACCATTTGAAAAATACATTATAAAATAACACACAAACTGCTTCAGCAGTTTCAGAGTTTTTCTCTCAAACGGCATATTTTTGCAGGTTTATTTGCAAATATTGAATACTTGGAACACAAATTAAACTCTTGAAAAGATTGAAATGCTATTAAAAGTTCTCAGCCTCTATGGCTTAAACCTACATCCTTCCAGTCTATGTTTGGTTAGTCTTCACGCTCCTGTGCAGGAGCCATCGCTAGCTATTCCTGAAGAAATCAGGCACTGAACACTGGCTTTCTTGTTGATTGGCACATCAGTGGGCCTATGGCCTCTGTGTGAGCTTGCTTTTGCCCTCCTCCTGCTCTGCCAGTTTGAAATGGGTGTATGCCAGGATGCCACTGAGGGTGCAGAGGATGCCCAGACCTTGATTTAAGGACAAGGGGTCCTGGAAGAGGACATACCCACCCAGTAATGTGATGCAGAACTTGAAGTGTCCAAACATGTTGTAGCTGTGAGGATAAATGTTAAGGGAACTTGTCTGACTTTTGGAGGTTCCTCGAGACTTATGACATGCACTTGAGAAACAGGCTTTGAGGACATGACTTGAGCTTCAGAGATGAGTCAGGCACACACACACAGAATGAGCTTCTATGATTCTTTCTCAAAGTTAATATTCTTTAGACCATTTTACAGTTAGGATTTTTATGTTTTATAGTTAGGCTTGTGAATATGATATTTAAGAGAAATCTTAACACACACAAAAATCTGTTAATAAAATGACAGATAGTTTTAATATTGATCTAAGGATATGTCAGTCTTGTTAGTATGCAGCAAAAGTTAATAAACCTGTTAAAAAAAGTATAATCTGTTAACAAAATAACAGATGTTTCTGGATATAAAAGATATTTCTGGATATATCAGTCTTGTGAATGTGTAAAAAGTCAATAAATCTGTTAAAAAAATAAAAGTATAATCTGTTAATAAAATAATAGACGGTAGTTTTAATATTAATTTATGGATATAACAGTCTTGCAAATATGTAAACGGTTAATAAATATGTTAAAAATAAATAAGTATAATCTGTTAATACAATAAGTTATGTTTTAATATTGATTTATGGATGTGTCAGTTTTGCGAATATGATATGCAAAATAGTTAATAAATATGTTAAAGTTAAAAAATGAAAATACTATGTAAAAAAAGTGAATAAATCTGTTAAAAATAAATAAGTATAATCTGTTAATAAAATAATAGACGGTAGTTTTAATATTAATTTATGGATATAACAGTCTTGCAAATATGTAAAAAGTTAATAAATCTGTTAAAAATAAATAAGTATAATCTGTTAATACAATAAGTTCAGTTTTAATATTGATTTATGGATGTCTCAGTTTTGCGAATATGATATGCAAAATAGTTAATATAAAAAAAAATGTTTAAATTAAGTTAAAATATGTTAAAGTTAAAAAATGAAAATACTATGTAAAAAAGTTAATTAATCTGTTCAAAATATATTAAAAAGTATGTGTTAGCAAAATAACATGCTGTTTTTAATAGTGATTTATGGATATGAGTTATGTAAAAAAAAAAAGCTGTTAATAAAATAACAGATGCTAATTTTTATATTGATTGATGGATAAATCATCAATTTAAATGTACATGAATTATTAGTGAGTTGGATGCATGAGTTTGGGCATTGGCTTAACTGTAACTCAGTACTTCTATTTATATTGATACATGAATATTCTACATGAATGTCATCACAAACTTATTAAACGTATCTGAATTTGTTAAAACATTGCAAAAATGATGAGATGGCACTGTCTATGTTTCATACAGTATAAATGGTATTTTACATATTAAACTATATAGTTGCCAGCATATTTTAGAAAGACAGCTAACAGAACATAAGCTAGCATATTTCCACATCCTTGGCTTTAAAAAAAAGTTTGAAAACCCTTGGTTGAGAAATAATAAGTGGCCCAAAAGTGCAGTTTAAAACAGATGTTAGTAAAGTGCTCCCTCTACTGCGTACTTTGAGAAAGGTCTCACTCTTGAACTCGCACTCAATGGGTGTATTCAAAACCATGAAATGTTTTCAGTATAGCTTAGGGCTAAAAAAAAAATGCCTTGATTTACAGCTTTCCCTTTCATTATTATAAGTGTGTAACTACATGTTACTATTTGCCAAGCTTTGCCAAGTCTCTGTAAACAAACATTTGCTTGCATTATAGCCCTAATCTCACATTTAAAGGGGTCATATGATGCTGCTAAAAAGAACATTATTTTGTGTATTTGGTGTAATGAAATGTGTTTATGCGGTTTAAAGTAAAAAAAAAAACACATTATTTTCCACATACTGTACATTATTGATTTTCCTCTATGCCCCGCCTTTCTGAAACGCGTCGATTTTTACAAAGCTCATCGGTCTGAAAAAGCGAGGTGTGCTGTGATTGGCCAGCTATCCAGTGCGTTGTGATTGGCCGAATACCTCAAGCGTGTGACGGAAATGTTACGCCCCTCACCATACTGTTGTATTCCCTCAGCGACCAGCACGGATCAGCTCTAGGCATGACGAAGCGGATATCGTCCTCTTTTGGAAGACCAAACAAAGTAGTTTCGCTTTCACAGCGAAGCACACAGCGTCTTCAGGTTATGGCGGATGAAGTCATGTTTTAGAGAGCACTGTTTTTAGACGCGTGTCTAAAGGGTGTGTTCTGCACCAAAAATAGAAAAAAAGAAATAGCCACAGCTGAATGACTGATATTTCAGAGAAATAACAGAAAGGATACGTAACAGGAGACGTGTTCCCAATGATCCAGTAAATGGACAAATTGACCAGAAAGGCAATAACACCAGACAGCAGAACCATGCCCTTGATGAAGCAAAAAAATATCAAGAATCAACCATTCAAAAGTACATTTCATCTAAATACTCAAAACCAAATCCTATGGAAATACATTTTGCTTATTTATTTAATAAACAAATCAATAACCATTCACATAGTAATATTTAGAGCAATAAACTGAACTTGTGAACTTTTTTATATATATATATATATATATACTATATCGCCCAGCCCTAGCAATAACACAAGGCGCTCTCTGTTACTGTGTTTGTATATGTATGAAATTGCTTTGGATACGTGCAGAAGGTGTCCCTTTCTCGCTCACTCTCTTACCAGGGCCTGAAATGACCAGGGGCCAAAGATACCACCCTCTCCGGTAAGGGGTTCGAAGAATGGCACCAGGACCAAGAGAAACGCTGAAGACATGGGTGCTTGATAATACAGTAACTGCATAGAGTTCACCTGAAGCTCATGCTGTTTGGCACCGACCCACTATAATAGGAGAAATAAATGATTAAATCACCATTCGGATGCAGTGTGAATATCTGAATAATTGATGAGGGAAATAATTTATGGTAAGAAATTTCAACTCAGGATTTATGAAAGGAATTTTTTTATTATTTATTTATATATTAAAAAAAAAACACTCGATAATCTTTGGTTGATTCAGTTACTTCTATAGATGTCAGACATACACTAACATTTTTTGCGGGGAAAAAAGTTATCTTATGCCCACCAAGGCTGCATTTATTTGAATCAAAATAGTGTAAAAACAGTAATATCATGAAATATTATTACAAAATAATACCCGTTTTCCATTTTAAATTTAATTTATTCCTATGATGGCAAAGCTGAATTTTCAGCATCATTACTCCAGTCTTCAGTCACATGATCTTTCATAAATCATTTAAATACACTGTTTTAGTGCTCAAGAAACATTTCTTATTATTATCAGTGTTGAAAACAGTTGTGCTACATAATATTTGTGTGAAAACCATGATGCATTTGTTTTGCAAGATTCACTGTTGAATAGAAAGTTCAATAGAACAGCATTTACTGATCTTGACTACTGATCCTTACTGATTTGGTCAACATAATGTGACCTTGATGGAAAAGTATTAATTCATTTAGAATTTATATTTTAAATATCTAATTTAAGTTATTTG